TGAGACAAAGTTTCTCTGTGTAACAGCCCTACCTGGCATGGGACTCACTTTGTAGATCAGGCTGGCATCAAACTCACAAAAAAATCCACCCGCCTCTGCCTCCTAAATCCTGGGATTAAAGGTGTGCACCACCACCACCTGGCTATTTCTTTCTTTTCTTCCTTTCTTCCTTTCTTCCTTTCTTCCTTCCTTCCTTCCTTCCTTCCTTCCTTCCTTCCTTCCTTCCTTCCTTCCCTTTTCTTTTCTTTTTTATGAGACAAAGTGTCCCTGTGTAGGCTTGGCTGTCCTGAACTCACTAAGTAGACCAGGCTGGCCTAGAACTCATAAAGATTCACGTGCCTCTGCTTCTTGAGTGCTGGGATGAGAGGTGTGCACCACCATGACAGGCTTTAACCATGCTGTGAGCCCAGCGTGCCAGCAGAGTGGGAATGCCTGGTCTAACCTTTCCTTTCACGTCTAAGTAACCACCATCAAGGACGTCCCGGAAGGCTGTAGAACAGACAAAACAATACTCCAAGTCTCTGGCTCTCATTTCTCCATTCCCATTAACTGCCCAGGACAAGGGTTTCGGCTCCATTCCCCACAGCGGATACTATTAGCCCTTAACACCTGCTTGTATCTATTTTCTAGATTTTCAGTAGGAAACGTACATAGCATTTGTAGAGGGCACAGGAAATTTGCAAAAGCAGAGACATATTCAGCATTACTGAGTAATATCCATGTGGCTGCGGCTTAAGGGAGGCAACCTGTGACATTCCATCAGATAAAGGACTAGAAAGTAGAAAGTATGACCATGTCTGCCTTTGGTACTTCCTAACCAGCATTTCTTGGCAAGCTATGCCCTGGCCTCACGTCAGACACTCCACTACTTAGAACAAAGCAGCCCTTCATATAGGGAGTGGTCAGAGGTCTTGGGTTAGGAAATTCTTCAAGGACCCTTTGAAGTCCTGTCGCCCACTTGGTGTCTTCCCTGCTCCTGGACATGATGGAGGTGCAGGGGGCGGGGTTTTGCAGCAACAAGACCTTCTCATTCTGCTACACAGTGCTAATCAATTGAAGGGAGTGGTTCTCAATTTAGGGGTCACCTTTGAGGGTGGAAGGACCCCTTTACAGAGGTCATGTGCCAGAAATCTCACATATCAGATATTTACATTACAATTCATAATAGGAGCAAAATGACAGTTGTGAAGTAGCAACAAAATAATTTTATGATTGGGGGGGTCACCACAACATGAGGAACTGTATTACAGGGTTGCAGCATTAGGAAGGTTGAAAAACACTGGGGTAGAGGGACCAGGATGCTCTAAATAACTGTCTTGTAGAGATAACAAGATAAAGGGTGTCTATCAAACTTGAATATATTTCACCAGTCTGTTCTCTTTCTAACAGCTACCGAGGACCAAAGTATAAACAATGCAGTGTCAAACAAAACACAAATGCAGACGTACACACACCCACACCCACACCCACACACACAAACACAACACAACAAAACCAGGTCAGTTTGGTTGCTGTGATAAAATAGGCTGACAAAAGGCAGTTTGGGGGAGAGAGAGTTCGTTTGGCCTTCAGTTTCAGATCATAGTCCATCATTTCAGGAAAGGCAAGGAGAGGATCCAAGCAGTCAGTCCCACTGCATCCGCAGCATCCGTAGTCAAGAGCAAAGAGAGAATGAACCCATCCTTGCTCGTCCGCTCTTAGCTGGTCTTTTCCTCTCTGACACCATTCAGGGTCCGCTGTTGAAAGAGTGGTACCTCTCACACTGGCCTGTGTCTTCCTACATCAATGAACAGTCAAGACACTGCCCCACAGACATGTCCATGGGCCAAGCTGATCTAGAAAATTCCTCATTCAGACCCTCTTGTCAGGTGATTGTTGGCGGTGTCGAGCTCATAGCTAAAACCAAGCAGCACAAGAAAATAGTGTGACTTATCTCAGATGGTGCCGAGAGTCCTCATCTAGTCCTTTTCTGCTCTGCTCCGTCCAGTTCACAAACCGTCTGCTACTCGTCACTCGAATAGGATGTGCAACTTATTTATATCCCAAAGTAATTTTAAAAAGAAGTTGTTGTGGCTTAACAAAAAGAAAGAAAGAAAGAAAGAAAGAAAGAAAGAAAGAAAGAAAGAAAGAAAGAAAATCAAGCAAGCAAGAAAAGTCCAGACAATGAAACCTAGGGGATATGAGCAAACCGGGAAAACACTGTAGAAAAGAAATTAAAAACCAAGTGTTCATCCTGGTTGCCCCAGGAGTCCAGGGCTAGCCTTGAAGGGTTCTGATGGTCTAGATGAAAACAGAAATGGGGCAGACACCTTTAATGATTAGAAAAAAAGATAAATCTGTGGGGTTTAGAAGGGAATACTGAGTTGTTCTCAGTGCTAATTATTTTTAAAATTACATTTACTTACTTATTGCCGAACAGACGTGTACACACTTCCATGTGACAGCCTGTGTGTAGAGGTCAGAGAACAACCCGAAGGACTTGCCTCTTGCTACCGTGCGGATCCAAGGCATACAGCTCCTGTCTTCGGGCCTGGTGCCTTAACTCACGGAACCATCTTCTCCACCCTTGATACTTAATTTTGAACAAAATTCTCCTATAATAAAGAACGAATAGTTTTGATAGAAGTTTTGGGTCAAATGATTTTCTTTCCGATTTTTTTCTTTCTTTCTTTCTTTTTTTTTTCAAAACAGGTCTTAATAACAATGTTTAATAATAGTTGGAAATCCCCTACCACTGGAGGTTAGCCCAGAAATGCTGAATCAGCGTGTGCATTTGATCGGTTCCTTTCTTCTTGTTTACAGTTCGTGTTATTTTTAATTATATGTCTGTTTGTCTATGTGTGAGTAACCACATAAGTGTGCAGGTGCCTGCACGGCTGGAGGCACATACATTCATACACACACACACACACACACACACACACACACACACACATACATATACATACAGAGGCATGCATACACATACACCAAAGAAGTTTTGTTTTTAAAAACCCAGAACAATGGAGAGATGGCTCAGTGGGCAAGGGTACTGGCTGCCCCTCTGGAGGATCTGGGTTCAATTCCCAGCACCCACATGGCAGCTCCTAACTGTCTGTAACCCCAGTTCCAGGGGATCTGGCACCCTCACACAGATATTAAAAAAAAAAAAACAAAGAAAATAAATAAATGAATTAAATATGGAACCAAGAACAGAGTACATATAGGGCTATGCTATTCAGAATGAGATATAACTGTACTTCAGAGCCATTGTTTTTCAAGTTAGTTATAATTTGGTATTATGTTTCCTGGAGGGGAGGTGGCAGTTCATTCTCTCTCTCTCTCTGGTCCACAAATGGCTCCCTGAGACAAAACCACACTGTTGCTATGACATCTTTTCTAATCTGTAATTCATTACCACTAGGAAAAGCTATCTTAGGACACAGTCTGCTCCTTGGGGCCCCACAACAGCCCCCACTTCCATATCTAAGAGTTCTTGGGGGTATCTTTGCTGTGTTCCAAGCTTCTGTTCCCTGCTTGCTTCTATCCCAGGCTTCTGTTGCTTGCACAGTGTTCTGGTTTGGATGTGAAATGATCCCCCACGGGTTCATGTGTTTGAATACATGATCTCTGTCTGGGGAACAGAGATCTCATCTCTGGGTAGATGATGGAACCTTTAGGAGACGGAGCCTTACTAGAGAAAGTCGGTTACTTGGGGAGGGTCTCGAGGCTCTGTGAGGTGATTGGGATGTGGTCAGAGGGATCATATTTTGGGGAGAGAAGGTGGTAGTGTTCACAGCAGGGCTACCTGTAATTCCAGCACTTAGGAAGTTGAGGCAGAAGGATCAAAATGAGATGAGTGTAAGGCTAGCCTGGACAATATAGCAAGGCCCTGTCACAAAAGCAAAACAAATAGACAAAGAAAAGACAAAACAAAAACAAAAACAAACAAACAAAAAAACCCAGAAGGCATGTGATTTATCATGCAAACACAGTAACTCTTGAGAGGCCAAAAGGCTGTGCTTACCTTTTTATTTTTGAGACAGGATCTCACGTAGTCCAGGCTGGCCTTGAACTCCCTATGTAGTAGATGACCTTGAACTCTTGTTACTCTTGCCTCTACCTCCAAGTGTTGGGGTTACAGGTATGCCCTGCCACCATATCAGCTACTCAGCACCATAGGTGCTCCCTGACACAACTGCTTATTTCTATGGTATGCCTGAAGCCTTTTCTTGGATAGCCCTCACTTTTTTTTTTTTTAAAGATGGGGTCATGACATGTTGCCCAGGCTGCCCCAGGTCTCATTGATTCTCCTCAATTTCCAGAGTAGCTGGGATTACAAGTAGTTGTTACTATGCCCTGCTTGTTTAGTAATTTACATAGCATTCATATTCAACAGCAGGATAATCTAAAAGTTCTAAAAAAGTTTTCACAACAAAACAACAACAACAACCAAAACAACCAAAACCTGTAATCCCAATACTTGGGAGGAGGGTTATAAATTGGAATTCATCCTGGGCTATGTAGTGAGATCCTGTTTCAAAAGTTAGCAAACAAACAAACAACAAAGCTCAGAGGGCCTCATTGTAAGTAGAAAACACTAGCTAAACAAATCAGCAAAACACTAAACAAAAGAAATGGGGGGGGAGGAGTGAGGGTGAAGTAAAAGAATGGGGGGATCTTTCAGTCTCTCTCTCTCTCTCTCTCTCTCTCTCTCTCTCTCTCTCTGTGTGTGTGTGTGTGTGTGTGTGTGAGAGAGAGAGAGAGAGAGAGAGAGAGAGAGAGAGGTGGTAAATTTAAAGTGATTTTGAAATGACATTACTTAACCCAGGAAATGGAGTTTAACTTTGAATTCAAGCGCATTTGAAAACCTGGATAAAACGGTATTTCCCCAGGCGTGGGACAGCAGGTCAGCAGCTGAGCTGGAAGCTCCATCTCATGACTGACTGCCAAGTCATCTCCCTATGAGTCAACCTGGCTTCTGAGTCGGCTTTCTAGACTGTTATTCCAGCGCTGTAACGAAGAGCAAAGAGGACTGGGGCTGGGCAGGAACTTGTCTCTTGTAGTTCAGTGGGATCCATGTGACCTGAAAGGTAGCCACTTCCCAGGAAGGATGCCCACAAACCCTCTGCTCACACCAGCTGTGTCTGCCCTACTTAGGTACCCACGCCTGGAAATAAAAAGCAGGTATATGCTTGGCCTTGAGAATCCTAACCTTACACCTAGGGGAATCTCATCATAGCTGAGACTTAGCTAGTTTTCCAAGTTGTGTGCTCTAACATGCCACCTTTAATGGTTCTAATATTAATAATAATAACAACCCATGTTTACTGAATCTTTGCCTGTTTATTTTTCCATAATGACGCTATAAGTCTATCATTAACTCCCTCTGTTTTATTTTAGTTTTTTTTTTTTTTGTTTGAGACAGGGTCTTGTGTGACCCCTGTTGGATTTAAAATCCGTGGGTAACTGAAGTTGACCTTCAACTCCTGATCTTCCGGGCTCCAACTCCCAAGAGCTGGAACACAGGCGTGCACCGATATGCCCAGCTGACCCTTCTGCCTTATTGGAATAAGTCCCCAGCACCAGGTAAGACGGAGCGGGGTGGAATGAGAGGGTACAGAGAGGTTAAGCAATTGGCCCAGATCTCAGGGACAGATAATAAACAGCTGAGATTTAACCTCAAGTTGTTTGATGGAGGAACCTGAAGACGTGCTTTCCGTTACAACTCCAGCTGTCCTCATAATAGTCTCCCCCCCCCCCCCGTGTGTGTGACATGGAATCGTTAGGCATGATAACGGAGAGTGGTCCCCCAAAATGGGCTTGGGAGTGTGGTTTTGTGGCTTTTGTGGATAAGCATGAACTTAGCCCGCAAGAGACTCTCGGCTCAGCCCCCAGCACCAGGTAAGAAGGAAGGCGGTGTGAGAGTAGGGTGGGGCTGCGGTGAGGGGCAGAAGTTCCAAGAACCGAAAGACAAATATTACCAGGCATTCAGCACGTGCCAGGCATACTTCTGTTTAGGAATGCGTTAGCTCAGGGAGCTTCCAAAACAGGACCAAACAAGGTCTCCTCCAGAGGTCGCAGCTACGAGCACGAGCACGAGCACGAGCACGAGCACGAGCACGAGCACGAGCACGAGCACGGCTGGAGCTCCTATGCCCAGGTAGTAAAACCAAAGTTCAGAGCCAGTGGACAGGTGAGCCACCATGACAGTTAAGAGTCGTTTCCAAAACCTGGCTTTTCCCAATTTACAGGAAGATACAGACTAGTTTAAGGAACGGTTAAATGCCACACAGTGACTTGGGGACAGGCTAGTCAGGGATCCAAAGTCGGTTCTTATATTGCTTTCACTTTCCCAGCCTTCAGTGGTGTGGCGCAAGGCTCAATTATCCTCCAGACAGACACCGTGTTTTTTTTAGCTTCTTTACAGGGTCCAGGTGGAGCCGGACGCCGCCCCCTGGTGGCAGTGCGAGTCTGCGCTCAGGGCTTGGTAAAGACTTCGCGGCGCCGCTAGCTGATTGGCCGGCAGGGTTTCCAGATGCTTTGCAAGTCTGCTGATGCTGGTGGTCCTCAGACTGCAGCCCTGCCCCTGCCCCTCGGGATTCAAATCCAGACTGGGGCCAGCAAAGCTGACTTGTGAACCTGGGGAGTTTCCCGTTTCTCTCCCATCCTTGTTGTGGTCGTGAATTCCTCCAGGGCTCAGGATGGTGATCCGACACACCAAGGCCAGCAGTACAGCCCGAGGGTGACTGTCCTGCGAGGTCCCCACTTGGTTCTCCTGACAAGTGGGCAGGGATTCAGTCTGTGGAGAGTCCAAGGAAGACTGGACGAGGTAGACGGAATTCTTCCAGTTCGGTCCTCCCGGCCGGATGGTACTGATTGTGTAGGTGTCTAAAGCTGCCTCTTGGTCCTGAATCATCGGGACCCGCTGGGCAGAATGTCAGAAAGGCAGCGCCTGTCACCCACCAGCCACAGACTCGGAGACTTGTAAATAGACACCCACGTGTTAATTTTATTGCACTCGTAAGTTACCATTTCTGGCCATGTGATGTTTGAGAGTAAAAACATTTTTCACATGTTGGCCGCAATACCCACGCAGCTCTGAAGGCCGTGGTCACCATCTTCCATTCGCTGCCTCAACTTGTTTGGATATGAGCCGAAAGGTCAGATCCTCCAACCTCATCCGGTGCTATTTCCTCTTAGATAGTTAACCAATGTGCTTGTGGACCAGTGAGGCAGCGGGTGAGGCGTGAAAGACGTGTGAGGCGTGAAAGACGTGTTGCCGGCTTTCTTAAAGACTCCCCAGGCTAAAGTCGTCCCTCTAAGGCAGTTTTAACAGAGCCCAGCCTTGAGTGACTTACTGTGGACTGGGTCCCACCACAAAGACCCTTAGGGGTCCCTTGTCAGATGTGCCCGTTTTCTGACTGAGGCGGGCTCTGTGGGTCAGCCAGTGGCGGAGCTGGGTGTAGGCGGTGTAGCTAGTGTTAGCATCTGGCCTGAGCTTCCCTGCCCAAAGAGGGCCGACTTGGTCCCTAAGACAGTCCTGTGATGCAATTGTCCAGAGGGCCAAGAAGCGAGCGCCTGGAGGGTCACCCTGCAAATGACCTAAAGGGAGCAACAGGAGAAATATAAGGCTTCTTTCCCTGCTAGGTGGCCTGTCTGGGGAAAGAGTTCGGACTGAATTTCCAATTGTTTACTGGTGTGTTCCCACAGCTTGTTTCGCTTGCCCGTTTAATCCTATCTAGTACCACCTGCCCAGGGGTGGCGCCCGCAACAATCATCAATCTCCAATATGTCCCCAGTTCTCTCTTCTTAGGCAATTTTATTTTGGGTCGAGCTGACAACTCAAGCAAGCAGGAGGTGCCAAGCTGAACGCCGTGAGGATAAAGGAAGTGCTTAAGAGTAGATATTTACTTTATCTTGCATGGAGTGCCAATAATGGGTTTGGAAAGAGCGGGATGTGGCTTCCACGGGTCCTAAAGGGTGTGGGAGTATTCTGGATGCAGGGAAGGTGGTATGAAGGAGAACCATGAATGTCCTGAAGAACCCGTTTTTTCAGGCCAGTTCTTGCTTGGCACCACATAACTATGTCCAATGGGCAGTTCTGTTTCTAGATGAAGGTTCTGGGGGATTTGAGACACACATTAGCCTGGTACTGAGAACGTGACAGGAATACCAGATATTTCTGGGTCCAGCTACTGGGCTCTCGTAGACTCGGGCATGTGAGCCATGAATGGTGGTGGGCTGCGTGTCTACTAGAGAAGGGAGTCCCGTGGTTTCGGATCATTCTTTGCATCTTTCCACTGCCAAGTACATGGTTATGATGGTCCCCCAGGGAGTCCTCTCTGGTTTATAGGAAAATTCCGGTCTTTGGGGTCTTTTGGAGAGTGGCAGCTACTCAGAGAGTGACAGCTACTCAGAAAGCAGCTGTGAGCATGGAACAGCAAGGAGGCGTTTGTTTACTGCCTGGGCTCTTAGACACACTCAGTGTTGTGTCTTGGTTAGCTGGGAACTGAAAGGGGACACCCTAGGCCTAGCATAGGCTCACAGGGAATGCGGCTGGTCGCTTTCTTGCTGCATGTATTGTGGCTTTTGGAAAGAATTGTGGATAGGTCATGATTCTGGGAGAACCAGGGGGCTATGATCCACTCAATGGATGAGGCGGGATGGGGATGTGGGACAGCCATCTGGAGAAGGGTGGAAGCCCCCAGCAGTGTCTTCTTTAGGCAGTTTTAAAACCAAGCTGGGTCTCCTTCTGTTACTGAAACAAAGGAGACCTTGCCAAGGTCATTTCAGACCCAAGGGGGCAGTTACGCTTTTTGCATTTTTGATTTATTGTAATTTGGTTGGTGTTTGTCCCACCCCCAACAATCTTCTTCTCCTCCTTGTCCTCCTCTTCCTTTCCTTCATTTATCTTCTCTTTCTTCTGATGAACAGCATTTCACGTAGCCCAGATTATAATGAGCTCCACATAGGGCTAAGGTTGAACTTAAACGACTTTTTTTAAAATATATATATATATATATTTATTTGTATTTTATGTGTATGGGTGTTTTGTCTGCATGTATATCTGTGTACCACATGCATGGGCACTGCCCACAGAAGCCAGAGAGGATGGCAGATCCCCTGGAACTGGAGTTACAGATGATTGTGAGCCTCCATGTGGGCATTGGGAATCAAATCCTGGGCCTCTAGAAGAGCAAAACATAACTCTTAACATCGGAGCCGTCCCTCCATCTCCCAGGCCTTGAACTCTTGATCCTTCAATGCCTTCACCTTCTGAGTGTCAGGATTGCGGCATGAGCTACCATGTTATTTACTACATTTGTTTATTGTGTGTGTGTGTTGTTTATTGTGTGTGTCTGTTTGTCTTTCCGTCTGTCTTGGGGAGGCAGGGACAGATGGCTGCGTTGGAAGGAGTGACCTCACAGCTATATTGGCTTCCCCTGGACATTCCAGGTACAGTGGCCACTGTGCAGGCCCTCTCCAACAGCCTTGGTGGTCTCTTTGCTGTGGATCCCATGGCTGTGTCTGTGGCCCGAGATGAGCCCTGATGCTACAGAAGGCCAAGGACCACAGCGCCACAGGGAGCCACAGTGAGTAGCCTCTGTCCCAAACAATTCTGCGAGCCAAGAAAGTGTTCCTGCAGATAAGCATGCGGTAGTTTTGCACCAGGAGGCCAGCCAGGGCTTGCGTGCCATCCAAGGGGCTGGCGCTGAGTCGGAGAGCCCGAGTGGGTGGCTGTCCTTTGCAACTTTCCCTCTACGTGTGATTTTGGATGGTTTCTCAAGACTGTGGTCAGCTGCAAAAGCTGGTTTGACAGGAAAATCTGAGGTAGGAACTCTTACCTCTCAGTGCTGCCTTAGGGCATGGCCCCCTGCTCTTGTTTTCCTTCCTGCCTCAGGAGCAGGCTGGATGAGGCAGAGGGGTAGGTGAGATTGGTCCCACTGAGCCCTCTGCAGCCTTGCCTTGCTCTTTCCCTCTGACTGGGTCAGTAAGCAGTCCTTTCTCTTTCGGTTTAAGAATGGTCTTCAAAATCTACTTCCTCTAGGAAGTAAGTGTTCCTGGACCATCCTGTGTGTCCCCTGCCTCCCCTGGAGTCTCCTGTGCCACCCGGAACTGCATGGCTCTCTGGGGGAGTACACTTGATCTTGTGCCTGGTGCCAGTCCTTTATCTCTGTCCTTAGGTTTTGCCATCCCAGCTCAGGGGGCACCGACATTGGGTTGCTTATTTACAGCTGTCCCTGAGCCGGATCCATAAGAAGCACTGGGTTAAGTCTTTGTGGTTAAGGTGGTCTTGCTGAGAATTTTTTTTCTTTTCTTTCCCTCCTCCCTCTCTGTCTATCCCTTCCCTGTCACCCTCTCCCTCCTCCTTCCTCCCTCAATCATTGTCACTCCATCACCCCCTTCTCTCTTTCCCTGCCCTACAGGATATTCCAATGTATCTCAGGCTGGCCCCCAACTCCCCAATCCTCCCATCTCATCCTCCTGGCACCATATCCAGCCACATTTATTATTCTCATTTACTCTCCGTGGCCGCCTCTTTAAAATGGGTTAACTTCTCCCTCCCCAGTGGATGCAAATGCTGAGGTTCAGAGAAGTCAAGTGATTGACACTTTCTATTTCTCAGCTCACCAAGGCTAGGAAACCATTGATTTCATTCAGACCACTGGTGCATGTTAAGGGGACTCGGTGAGCTGGAAGGTTCATGTAGCGGTGTGTGGAAGTGCAGTGAACCAGAAGGAGATGGGGAGCTTGCAACGGTGACATCATAGAAAGTGGTTTGTCTAGGTAGCTCTAGATTTTGTTGACAGGGACAGAGAGCCGGCTACTTTAGAAGGGTCCTCTGGTACAAGAAGCCTGTTCTGCCCATCACATGCATAAAACACATCAGAATTGGATCTTTAAACTGGGCTTTATTCAGAGTGCTGATAATCTGGGAAGTCAGAATGAGATCTGCCTCAGCAACCCCCTTCCTCCATCCCTTCTCTCTCTCTCTCTCTCTTTCTCTCTCTCTCTCTCTCTCTCTCTCTCTCTCTCTCTCTCTCTCTCTTTAATGGAGAACCAGGACAAAGGCAACAAATCAATTCAAAGTTTAGTCTTGTCCTCGGGTCTGGTGGGTCTTGTTTTCATTGTCCATCCACACCCTTCCTCATAGTAGGGGGAAGCTTTGTAAACACCAAAGCCATTTACTTAACTTTGCGTTCCTTCTTACCCATTTGGGTGACGTCTAGATGGAAGCTTAACCAGAACAAACGGTGAGCAGTGCGCGTGTGCTAAAATGCTTCCGGCATGCATGCATAGACTCCTTCCTACAGAGTGATGTCCAAACGCGCTCCTAGAGCATGCGCTGTTCCCCTCCACTGTGTCCATATCACAGGTGTAGTCGGGTATCAGGGAGCAGGAAGTGGCTCTGAGGGGGTAGGAAGGGTAGGAAGGGGTGAGGTCATGAGCAAGGAGAGCCCTTTCTCCTGCTAGCTTCCTGGGTGTCCTCCAACAGCCCTTTGCTTTTCTTCATCCTTCTGTGACGCTGTGCCATCCGGGGAGTCCCTTCCTCCTTCATAGGACCTCAAGCTGCGCTGCTAGTGAGATTTCCTAGACATTTCTGTAGGCCTTTTACGGATTATGTCTAGTCCTCAAGCCTAACAGCGCCTACAGAATTCAGGTCCTTAGACTCCAGCCTCACTCATCTGTTTCCAGCGCTTTCTGGGTGGGTCGTTGCCATAACCTGCTCTGGCCTGCCGCTTCTGCGCACCCTCTTTTTTGTTACCTTCTAGAATCTTCTAAAACAGGTCAGACCGTGGGCTGGGAATGTATCTTACACGGGAGAATGCTTACACAGTGAGCACGAGGCCCTGGGTTCCATCTTCAGCACCGTGTCAATGGGCATGCTGGCGTACAACTGTCCTCCCAACGCCTGAGAAGTGGAGGTAGAAAGGTCGGATATTCAAGGTCATCCTTGGCTACATTGAGTTCAAGGCCAGCCTGGGATGTCTGGGATCCTGCCTCAATGTTCAGAAATAAAACAAATGGCAAATCAAACCCACCGCCAACAGAGGCGGATTCATGAAGTTTCTGCCGCTCTGCTCAGCTTCCAGCTGCCTGTGGAGGAACACTGAACCCTGCCGTGTACAGTATTGCTGTGTCCATGCACGCTGCGCTCTGTTGTGCCTTCATGCCCTAGGGATGCCCTCTCCAGTTTGGAAGGGCGCTTTCCACAGCAGCAGAGGCTGAACACTCTCCCCAAATGTTCCACGTGCTCTCTAAGAATAGATGCGCCATGAGCAGACGGTAGGTGTGTGTGTGTGTGTGTGCGCGCGTGTGCGTGTGTGCATGTGTGTGCGCGTGTGTGTGTGCATGTGTGTGCGTGTGTGCGCACGTGTGTTTTCCAGGCTCATGCTTCGACAAGCAAATGCTCCATATTTCCCCCTCTCCCTAGCAGTGGGATCAGGAGGATACATGATGAAACGAGGGACCACTGATGGTAGTTGGCCTAAATGGATGAATCATGCAAGACATACAGGGAGGGACCTGGATGTTGCCGAACCTGATTAGCATTTACAAAAGGGAAATTACCTTTGTGGTATTCAACTGTGTTACCACAGCATGACCTAGTCTGTCCTGGTTAAGACTCTCATTTTCTGCTAGTTAAAATTGCTGCCTTTAGTGGGACGTGGGGTGCAAATCTGAAATGCCATCCCTCCACCTCCCTCCCTTCGTCTCTTTTAAAATACTTATTATTTATGTGTGTCTGCATGTGTTTATGTGCACCATACGCGTGCAGGTGCCAGTGGAGGTTGGAAGAGGGTGTCATATCCTCTGGAACTGAAATTACAGGGGGACGTGAGCCCCTGATGTGGTTGCTGGGACCCAAACCTAGATCCTCTCACTAAGAGCAGCAAGTGCTCTTAACTGCTGAGCAAGCTCCCCAGGCCCCGATTGCTACTCTTCTAAGTCTCCCAGAACCAGCCCTTTCCTAGTGAAGATTAATCCCTTCCCTTTGGGCTTTTGTGGTGTGTGTGATTTAGGCCCATTTGACTCTTCATGCTTAGCGTCACGATTGCTTGTGTGTGTGCAGTGACAGAATGGTCAGGAGATATGAACCCTGGAGTCAGACGGACTGTGTTCACCCCTCAGCCCTGCCGGTTACCATCACTGAGATTGTCATTGAGCTATTCGGTCTTCTGTAACCTTGGTTCATGCTTGCACACCCCCACCCCTACCCCAGGGTTTACCAGGGCACCTGATGTTATTATAACTGATACCTGTTTGCTAGCTTTCTTATATTTTATCTTTGTGAATGAGGTGTCAGGAAAAGGTACCAAGCACCAGGAGTCAGTGTAAAGATAGAAGGTTCTGGAAACCAGGGGCCCTGACAAGCACAATAGGTTATTTGGCTGTAACATAGCCTGACAACAGTTTTCTCCTGCAAATTAATTCTCACTGCACAGGTAGAACCCCGAGGAGGGAGAGGAGCTGCCTGCTCTGTCCTGAGAACCGTGTTCTCCATTGTTTCTATGCATCCATCGAGATGATTTTGTGATTTTAGTTTTCTACTAGTGTGATGATGGTTTGAAAGAAAAATGGCTCCCAAAGAGAGTGGCACAATTAGAATGTGGCTTGTCGAAGTAGGTGTGGCCTTGTTGGAGGAAGTGCGTCACAAGGTGGGGGTGGGCTCTGAGGTCTCTTCTGCTCAAGCTTCCCTCAGTGTGACAATCGGTTGACTTCCTGTTGCCTAGAAGATGTAGCACTCTCAGCTCCAGCACCACGTCTGCCTGCATGCCGCCACTCTCCCCATCATTATGATAATGGACCGAACCTCTGAAACTTTAAGTGAGCCATCCCAATTAAATGTTTTCTTTACAAGAGTTGCCAAGGTCATGGTGTCTGTTCACAGCAGTAAAAAAAAAAAAACCTAGGTGAGACAACAGGTGTGATGAGCTATTTCAGGTGATTCTTTCTCTCCAGGGCTGGACATTGAAGCTTGGGGCTCAAGTGTGTCCAAGTGAGCTACACCCTCAGCACAGCTTGACTGAATTTAGAATATTAAATCACTATTGCATTCCTGGAATAAAGCCTAGACTCTCATGTTTGCTTGATTTGAGTCACTAATATTTTATTTATAATTTTGCATCTGTGCTCATGGTGTGTGGTGGTGGTGGTGGTGGTGGTGTGTGTGTGTGTGTGTGTGTGTGACAGTATCTCATCTCACTCTGTAGCCTGGCTGGCTTGAAGCTCACTATATAGACTAAGCTCATCTCTCAAAAGTATGGTCCTTTTGCTTCTGACCCCATCCCCAGTGTTGATATTGCATGCATGACCCACCCCACTTGGCTGCATCTGTTCTTATAATTAAAAGTTATTTTTCTTCCCTTAGGAAACCATTTTCCTCAGTCCAGTTTTGAAGCTCTCGAGTTCACAACAGATATGGTAGGTATAAGGGACCAGTCCAATGTGGCTGTCACCCATTTCAGATGCCATTCACAAGTCTAGGACTTCTAGCAACTGGTTCAAGATCTCAGGATCTCCACACCCCACTTCAGGTTTGGCAATTTGCTAGAACAAATTAGTAAATCACTTTATTGATGGTTACTGATTTATTGTAAAGGGGACAACTTAGAATCAGCCAAGCGGAAGCTATGCAGAACAAAAGGTATGGGGGATGGTGTATAGAGCTCCCTCACCCTGTCTGGTACACCATCCTCCGAGCCAGGGAAAGGTGCCACCCAGGTAGGTGGATCTTCCTACTTTGGTTAACACAACCAAGATGTCCAGAGGCCCAGGTTCCAGGTGATTCTAGTTTCTGAAAAGTTGACTGTTGTAGGGTATTAGTTTAAGATGTGTGACATTAGTTTATCCTGTGGGATATTTATTTGATAATGCAAAGATATACTACATTCTCTTAGGTTGCATTTATCTAACTCTGTGAAGCTGTGTGACTTTGCCTGCCTAAAACATCTGGTTAGTCTAATAAAGATCTGAATGGCCAATAGCTAGGTAGGATAGAGAAATAGGCAGGACTGGTGGGCAGAGATAATTAAATAGGAGGAAGAAGAATGAGGAACAAGAAAAGGAGAAAGAGAGAAGGAGGACACCAGGGTCAGCCACCCAGCTACACAACCAGCCATGGAATAAGAAGAAAAGAAAGATATATAGAATAAAGAAAGCCCAGAAGCAAAACATAAAAGAGAAATGGGTTAATTTAAGTTAGAAAAAGCTGGCCAGAAAAAAGCCAAGCTAAGGCCAGGAATTCATAAGTTGGAATAAGTCTCCATGTATTTATTTGGGAGTCTTATTTATTTGGTGGGCTCCCAAAGAGTAAAATTAAAAAATAAAAAAAAAACAAACATCTACAGTTGACAGTTCATGTTTTTTTCTTTTTCATCCACCCATTTTATTCTAGTTTTCCTTCCTTTCATTTGGATCAACATTTTCTACTGTTTTATTCTTTTCCTCCCTCATTTTTTGGTTATGTGTTTTTCCCCCTTTTGTCATTGTCCTGGCAATTAGACAATGTGTAATTGCTTTAGCTATGTGCCTGCTGCTTGATACAATTCCATGACCAAAACCGACTTACAGAGGGAAGAGTTCATCTCGGCATACGGTTCCAGAGGGATCAGAGTCCAACACGGCAGGCAGGCAGACATGGTGGCTGGAGCTGAGAGCTCACATCTTCAACCACAAGCCTGACATAGAGAGATTGTGATGGAAATGGGGCCAGGGTATAAACTCTCAAAGCCCACCCTCAGTCATGGACTTCCTCCAGCAAGGCTGCACCCCCTAAACCTACCAAACGGTGCCACCAAATACACGAGCCTATGGGCTTGTTTCTCATTCACAGCATTACAACAATGTTGATTTATACACTTATTTCTGTCTAATATCGAAGATGACAATCGTTAGTTTCGCAGCATTGCTAAAGGCTGCAGAACACTTTAGTGTTCTTTACTGCTTTCTTTTTCTGTGCCGTCGACACACGGCCCTACTTCTATACCTATAGTAAACTCTACAAGGTGTCCTAACGATTGGCTGGATGCCATGCTCATCAGTGTCACGCTTGGATCTGCCCTTTCCGGCGCTCTTCATTCCTTCTTGCGTGTCCATGTTTCTGACTAGGGTCACATACTTTCCTTGCGAAGGTCTGTGACTAAGAGATTATTCTGAAGGCTGTTGTTTATCGCTTTACATGATCAGCAGGAAAAATATATTGAACAAAAATAGTGTGCCTTTCTCTTTTCTCTCTTTGCTGCTCAACGCATTCTCAACTAAGGACCCAGCGTCACATCTCACTTAGGCCAAGAAGCTGAAAAAGGCACTGATTGAAATCACTGAACATAGGTGAGGGAGTCAACACATCATGTATTAGGATGCCTGGGTACTATGCAATATAACAAACATATAATCTATAATATAATAAAGAACATAACATATAATATATAAAAGGGAAAATGTCAGATTCATTCAGAAAAGAAAATCTATATGCCAACAGATTTTCACAAACAAAACGAGGCACGTACACATTAAACATTAAATTGTATTTAAAGAATCAAAATTATTTACCGCCCAAGCAGATTGCTTCCTAAAGAAATGCCTGTGACTTCTCATTCTGTGGCTCTCTTCACTGGACCTCCCAGATTGCCCCATCTGTGGCTTGCTTTTCTTCCATCTTGCCAAGGTGCCTACCTCAATTCAATTCAACACTGCTCAGGCAAACTGTGCCAGGGGCTTCCAGCCAGCCTTCTGGCTTCCCGGGCACTCGGGCACTCCATAGAGAAAGTGCCTTTCTCTGTGACCCTCATTAGCATGTCTTTCTTCACGTTGTTGTTCGCTGAGCTGGTCCGGAGCCTGGGAGTCTGGCTGCGCTGAGCGGAGGCCTGTGCATGGCATTAGGGTCTCCCTCTGATTGCACCGTTTGTCAGCTGTGCCTTGGTGTCCTGTACTAGGTCAAGGGAGGCTGCTGGCAAGGCTGCCTGATCTGGCAGCTGGGGCTTGAACTGTTTTGGAGGGAAGACTGGACATGAAATCTAAGCAGCTCGGCATTCATTAAGCACCTATTGTTGCTGGAGCCTCTGTGGGAGAGTTCTACAGGGTGCTTCGCTCTTCCTCACAAGTCTGCAAAGAAAACACTATTATTCTCCAATTTTGTCATTTAACTTATTTAGTGGTGTGTGTGTGTGCGCACACGCACACATGCATGCACACTTGCATGCGTGCACATGCACGCACACAAAGGTGTTTGCAAACGTGTATAAAGACGACTTTGGGTGTAATCCTTCAGGCACAGTCTACCTTGGGTTTTGACACAAGGTCTCTCACCAGGACCCTGGAACTTGCTGTTTTGGTTAGACTGGCTGGCCAGATGGCCACAAGGATCTGTCTGCCAACACTGCCCCAGAGCTGGAATGACAGGTGCATGACACTGTGTCTGGCTTTTTAAAAAGTTGTTTATTTATTTTAATTTTTTATATTTATTGCTCAGTACGGTGGTACGTGCTTTTAATCCCAGCAGGGAGAGGAAGGCAGGTCTTTGTGAGTTCAAGGGCAGCCTGGTGTACACAGTGAGTTTCAGGACAGCCAGAGCTATGTAATAAGACTCTGTCTCAAACAACAACAAACAAAACCAAAAGGATTTATTTTATTTTTGTGTATGAGTGTGACTGTTTTTCCTGTATGTGTGCATGTGTAGCACATATGTTTTGCCCTTGGAAGTCAGAATAAAAAGTTAGATTGGCTGGAAATGGAGTTAAGGATGGTTGTGAACATCATGTGGGTACTGGGGGCTAGACCCGGGTTCTCTGCAGGAGCAAGTGCTCTTAACCACTGAGCAATCTCTTCAGTCCCTGCGCCTGGCTTCTTACATGGGAGGTGGGAGTTGAACTCACCTCAGCTTGCACCCCAAGATCTTTCCTCCTGGATACACCTTTCCTGCCTGTCTCTTAAGGAACAGGATAGGAACTTGGAGCTTGCTCAGACCACATCCCTTATTTTACTGATAAGGATTCTGAGACTTGGAGCAGGTTAGTGACCATACCAATGTCACGCTGCAATGAATGCTAGACCCTGTCCATAATCGGTTGTGTCTGATTCTCCTCTTGTCAACGCTTGTGCTTCTCTTGAGGGTTGTCATCAGATGATGGGGCTTTGTCTCTTTGGGCTTAGCCAATTTTTAAATCCATGTCTCACCCCGCCCCCTCCCCTTACACAGATAGGTGTTTTTGCCTCAGATTGCCAGTGACTGATTTGACTTTCCAGCTGGAACACTCAAGCCTGACCAGGACCTTCCTTTATCCAGCCTGTGGTTTTCTCCCACCCATTTCCATCACTGTAGAGACAGAAAGGGATGAAGGTGTCTGCCTTGACTCCGAGGTTGGCTTTCTCTGACACTCAGCAGCTTCGGACTCTAGCCTATCACAGGCTCAGACCGGACCTGGGAGACTGAAGCCATTCCCTAGAAGGACACTGCCCTTTGCCTTCCTTAGGGTGATGATGTCTCTTCTGCTCTCTGGCACTCACAGAGACAGCATTGCTAAGGCCACGAGAGCGACTGTTCCTGGGGGAGAGAACCCAACCCTAGCTTAGCTATCTATGCAGCAGCAGGTGAGTCTACACAGTAATGCCTTCTGTGCCTCGACAAGAGTTCACGAGAGTGGCAGAATGGAAGCGTTACTATGATGATGACTAACGTGATGTGCCAGCTTGACTAGGCGGATGGATGTCAAGATAGTTGGAAGGAAATTATTTTAACATATTGTTATGTACGATCTGGAGAAGGTGCTACGATATCACATATTCAGTCCCGAATGAGTGCATTTATTAAATGTACAGCAAGACAATGTAAAAGACCAAATAACAGGTGGCAGACAGACAGTAAAGCATCATCAAATTGGGCTCTTCACTTTGTTTCACCCATCCCCACTGTCCAGTCACTCCCAAACTACCCATGCTTCGGCATGCTTGCTTCCACCTCTTCAACTTTGCTGTTAAGGCTCCCTCTGCTGGAAGCTCGTGTCTCATCTTTTCTTGTCTCTGCCTCCTTCTCTCCTCCCTTCCCCTTTCTTGCCGACAGGATCTCATAAAGGCCAAGGTGGTATTGAATCTACTATGTAGAGTCCGAGCTTGTATTTCTGACTCCCCGTTTCTTCCTCCTGGGTGCTGGGATTCTCAGTGTGTGCCACCACGTACAGCTGGCTCTGGTTTTCAAGATCTGTCGCAAGCATCATTTCTCTTCAGCCTTTGCTGAGCTGCTTCTGTTCAGAGTCCACCATTCCTACTGTGCATGGGAAGGTAGGCTGCACTTTAAAGGCTGGGATTTTAGAAGAGTACCTTGAGTCTCCAACAAGTGTTTACTGCGGTGTAGACTGTTAGTGCAAGGTTGAACACTTGCTTTTCTTCTGGAAGTCTGTAATCTTGGCTCATGCATGTGAATAGTGCCTTTATGGTCATCCTCCCTCCACCCTCCGTGAGTCTGAGTCCCAAGATGCTGAAAAGCTTTTAGGTAGACATTTCACACTTGTTAGGAGCCATTGCCTGAAGTGTGAACTGTATCCCGCCTGATTCCACTGAGCAAAGACTCTTGGAAGCTTGTACTACTGGCTTCGAGATGTGCCTTTTCTCACTGTTAATTCCGTTCGTGCCACACTGTAACACATCATAGCCACACGGATGACGAGGTACTGAATCTTCCACTGAGGATGAGTTGTCTTGGGACTCTCCGCCACACATACCACATGCCTCACGCAGATTCCTCGCATTATAACCTCATACTTTCCAGTAGTCTCGTTGATGACCCTCACTTTGTCACGAAGGGTGAGTCTGTCCCATCTACTTTGTCACTCCTCAGTTACCAGGACATTGAGTTCTGCTGCCCAGCAGAGGCTAGTCTTCTATTTACAGATGTCAGACATCACCTCCAGAAGCCACAGTTGCCACCCATTGCTCAGGAAGGATGTTAGAACACGAAGCTGGTGTCAGGGCAGACTTGGATATCCCTTTCTAAGGGATCCCTTGCATCAATAGTTGCTTATCAAGTTATCTTTTCTCCAGATGATACCTCAGATACAATGAGATCTATATTAGGCATATTTGGAAATCAGCCTAGCTTAAAAGTCTCATCCCTCACCCCTCACTTTCTTGTTCCTTTTTGAGGCCTTAAACTCACAGAGTTATGCCTGCCTTCATCTGCCAAATGCTGGAATTAAAGGCACTGTGCCACTACCACCAGCCATCCATACTTTTTTGGTAACCACCATGTGGACATAGCGCTCACAGATCACATATGCTTATAAGAGTGACCCCTATCAAGATGGCCAAACCTGTGACTTTTTTTGGGTGATATTTATTTGTGT